TCAGTGCTGGAGCCGTCCGCGAGGGATCATCGCTGTGACGTCCGCATGCCATCTCGGGATATCGTTTTCCAAACGGGTGTAACGGTGGCGCCATCAACGTCCAACCACCGGCCGTTCACAGGTTCAGTACTGGAGCCGTCCACGTGAGGTCGCCGTTGCAACGTTCGCGTGCAGTCTGGGGATACCATTTTCCAAACGCGTGAAACGAGAGCTCCGCCACCACATTTATAATCCCCGGAGTGCTAAAATAACAAAAGAGGTTAAAAAGAGGTTTGCAGTTGACCAAGATACGGAATACATACATAATAATCTCATTTTTATTCTAGGGCTCACGGAAATCCTATACGAAGCCGTAGTTATTCGGGTAGCATATCTCAAGCCGACCTTGGTTACTGCAATAATCGACTGCCAAGCTCACAGCAGTCTCGGTCACTTGCTTACCAGGTAAAATGCCATGAAACCCCGCTCAAATAAGTTTTCCATTTTGAGGTACTTGCTAACAAAACTATTTTAACCTCTTTTGTTATTCTAGCACACCGAGGCTTGTATATGAGGCCGTGGTCATTCGGGTCGTATACTTTTAGCCAACCTTGGGTACTACACTAATGGAGTGCCAGTCCCCCGACACTCTCGGTCGACTGCTTGCCAGATTTACTATCATGAGACCGGTACTTCGGATAGTACACCTCGAGCCGACCTTGGGTACAGCAATAATGGACTGTTAGACTCGCAATAGTCTCGGCCAACTGCCTGCCAGGTAAAATGTCATGAGACCCCTTTCGAAGTAAACTAGTCGATATCAAACCTATTTTAACCTCTTTTTTATTCTAGCACTCCGAGGATTATATAAGAAGGCGCGGTTCTTCGGATTGCATACCTCGAGCCGGCCTTGGGTATTCCAATAATTGACTGCCAGTCCCGCAACAGTCTCGGTCCACTGCTTACCCGGTAAAGCGTAATAAGTTCCCGTTCAAATAAGGTTAACATCGTGAACGTATTTGTTGGCAAATGTCTTTTAAACTTCTTTTGTCATTATAGAACTCCGAGGATTGTAAACGACGCGGCGGCTCTTGGGGTAGTTTCATTTCAGCCGGACTTGTGTACTGCAATAATGGAGTTTGCACATGGAAGTCGCAGCGAGGATCCCTCGGAGATGGCTCCAGAACTGGACGCGTATACGGCTGGCGGTTGGACGTAGATGGTGCCATTGTAACACCCGTTCGCCAAACGGCATCTGGAGGTAACATGCGGATATCGCAGCGGGGGTCCCTCGAAGATGGCGCCAGATTTGGACGCGTGTAAGGCTGGCGTTTGGAAGTGGAGTGGGCCACTGTTATACCCGTTCGGCAAACGGCATTCGGAGGTATCCAGCGGACATCGCAGCGGGGGTCCTTCGGAGATGGCGCCAGATCTGGACGCGTGTAGGGCTGGCGTTTGGATATAAAGGGGCGGTTTTCATGTTGGACAATGAATATCGTGGCGAATGCCATGTTTTCTCACACCGCCCGATTTTATTTTTTTCTTTCTACGAACAGAAAAACATTGAGGTTCTTAGACTGGATTGTTATTTCTACGATTGAGTCAGCTTCACTGCCTTTTAACAAAATATCCGACTATTAGTTACTTGAATGTGACGGAAATACACTAGCCTTATTATCTATATCACCAGCTGACCAAGGCCACTGCATCTGGACTTTAGCTGTTAATGGCAAAGAGTGAGTCAATGTGTATTTCCTGTATGAGACCAATGCAATCTAGCCGTGAAGGTTGGCCATTTCGAAGTTCCAGTCGGGCAGTAACGTCGCCGGCTCCGGGGTCTGCATACCGGCGGTGAAGTCGCCGGTTCTGGGAGTGTCTAAGCACATACAGTCATCACAATAAGGTCTTTTGTGAATCGGTCTTGGAAGTGATTGGCCGGTTAGGACAGACAGAGGGTGAACGCACGTCTGTGACCTTCACCTGCCTTTGACACGCTTGTGGGAGACTGCTGCGCTGACTCATTTTGCTTTCGCTCTGCCAGAGCTCGCACTCGTGCGTAGTCTCTACTTTGGGTTTTATCGACTTTGTTCGGATTATTCCTAACGAGCGGCCTTGACGAGCTCTCAGGTCACGTTATCGGCCCACCCACAGACAAAGGGCGAACGGGCGCGCATGAAGGAGCTGGGGTCATCACGAGGCGGACAGGACAGAATTGACGAGATGGCCAATCGAGCCGCTTGGCGCATGCAGACACAGTCTGATTGCTCCTATCTATGGTCTTTCTTATCATATAGTCCCGTTCGAGGTACACAATTAACTACTTCCTTTCCTTTACGACCTTGTTCGTTGTTCTCCTTGTTGGACTGACACAAAGGGACTGGGGTGGGGCAAATCTAGCTTGGGAAGCCATTACAACAGGCCTTTCCCACGTTATCGACCCACTCGCCGCCTCAGACGCACGTAGGCTCAAGGCTAATCGATACTTCTATCGAGGTTTTAACGCAAATGTTAACCCTAACGGCTGCGATCTTCAAAGCCCGGTTTCTTAGGAGAAGATAGAATTCTTGGGAAGGCCAGAGTAGTAGTAAGAATATATTCTTTACAGAATGAATTGAAGAGGACGCGTTAAGGAATTGATTACCGGACGACCGCACAGCCGCAAACCAGCAGACGGCGTCTGAAGTGAGGTCTGTTCGGCAGTCGTTTCGTGAGGGCCTGTGTGAGTCGGCTTCTGATTGGCTGTTCGAGAGGCCGGAAGCAGTAAGTGATCCGAAGTATATCGCAGGGGGTTAAGTAAGTTAAACCCTAGCAAGTGCGATCTTCAGACCATGGTTCCTTAGGAGAGAAGAAGTGAGTAGAGGCCAGAGTAGTAGGAACAATGTATTGTGTACACAAGAGTTAGGAGAAAGTTGACACACGGTTTGGCATGGCTGTCGCGACCGCCCCGCTAGGGACGCAATCCAAAGTGTCGTCTATCGGCCGTAATCCCCGCCCGGTCAACGAATGCTTTGTGTTCAGCAAACTTGATGGTGATTGGTTGGACCACGCC